GGTTCTTCCTATCCTTTCCAGTGGCTCTGTAGCCCATTTACTTATAACAAGACATTCTGCTGGGTTCTGATTTAACCCTGAAAATAAGCCACTCGGAACAACTGAGTTCTTACAGTGGTTTCTGCATGGTGAACAATCCACCATGGGGAAATGTCACTGGGTTTGGATGTCACAATGAGGCATCCTTAAAGAAACATAGGTGGTGAGACAGTGTGGGTTGTCTGGTCATGCAAGCCAGGTCAGTATGTGTGGCCATCAGGACTAAATGCAAGGTTATACAAGCAGAAGACCGCCGCCCCCTCCAAAAAAAACCTGACTGGGGATCCACTTGACCTCCAGGTTTGGAAGGCATGCAGAGTGCTGGAGGAAGGAGGGTGAATTCAGTCTGCCAGTGGTGTCAATGGTGCCAGTGGAAAGTCAGCAATGGATAGAATCCTTAGTGCTTTTGGAATCATTTTCTTATAAAATGTTGATAATACAGAGATGAAACTTGAAAGAAGTGTGAGCAACATCTGGTGACATCTCCAGAGCGCTTGACAGAATTCCCACTGGGCAGGGCATTGACTTTCAACACCCTACTGATTTACTTCCTTCTACTCCTGGGAACCACAAGTTGAAGGATGCAAAATAATAGATGCAAAGTGTACTTAATCTGCATAATTTCCCACGGATTAAAGAATCTGATTGACTTGACAAAAGTTTTTGTTTAACAAAAACAAAAAGCTAAGTATGCACAGCCCTCCACAGAGCTCCAGAGTACACAAGAGACTGAACCAAATTATTCTACAGGGGAAAATGCAGGAGAGAGAGGAAGATACTAGAATCACTCAGTGGCTGATCTGATGTAGGAAGAAATTAAAGGAGTGTTATGAACACAATAAAGAAAAAGGCCTTCATAGCGGTGCTGCCATTTGCACATACTACAACACTGGTTGATTTATTGGTTGAAGTCAGAATTGGATAAATCTATCTATAACTCCATCCTAGGGGCATTAACTGAAAAGCAAGTCCTGCTCCTGGCAGAAGGAGAAACATGCTAAAGCATATAGATCATTTTAACCTTTACCTGATACCTCACTTGGTGACAGGAAAACTTTCTCCCTCTCTGGCTTTGGAATGTCAGGGAATGTTTAAATTACCATGTAAGTTAAGATTCTCCTTCACTCCCTCCTTCTCAGGGTGAACATAGACACCCTCAGTTTAGTATAACAACTCTGCCAGGTAAATGAGGCTCAAGCAGACACTTTGCAGCCACCACTTCAGCACCTTCACATAGAAACATACTACGCAGAAGCTAGCTGTTGATGCCCCTTTCCTGGAAGTACATGCATCAGCAAGGAATACATGTCTTTGGACGCAGATCCACACAAAAAAGGTGGTAATTCCCACGTATCATTTACCTCACATGAGGGAAGCCACCTCCACCCCTAACCATCTGCAGGCCCCAAATGTTGGGTTAGAAATAGCTATAATGGATATTGCAAATGAATTAGCCATCAAGGTTGTCCAGCAGTTCATATAGTCAATTGCAACGATCTGATCTCAGTGCTTAAAGCAAAGTATGTAGACAAGCCAACCGTCTTACCATATTAGATCATGAAGCATCTCAGAGGACACAGTCCTGTTTCCTCCATGGAAGATGCATGTAACTTATCAAACTTGGAGGCTTAGATTGGTCCTGTGCTCAGCATAAGGTTTGGTGCTGTTAACTTATATTGTTGCTGGATATCACACTGGGTATTTTTTCTAGTTCTTTCATCACTGGATACAAGTGGGTGGGGTAGGGGCTCAACCTTTGAAGTCCAGTGCTGAGTTCACAGGACCTCAGAGCTGGGACTCCAAAAAATCCTATAGCCTTCAGAGGAAGTTGGGAAGCCATAGGATGACACCCTAAACAAACTGATATGACAAACCTGCCAGGACTACCTATGTGTACTTAAAAGTAAAGGCTTAACTTCAATGGGCACCTTCCGTGCAAGAATGGGCTTCCTGAAAGAGGAAATTGTGTCTTGTCAATTTGAAAGATTCTCCTCCACTTTGAATTTTGCAAGGTAACACATTTACCAGGAAAGTCTAAATGATTGCAGTGGAGCGTTTAACTTCCAGGTGCTCTTAGGTCAGAGGTATTAGGAAGGGGTTTCTATCCTAGCAATACCCTGAGTAAAAGCATCAGTAAAATCAACTTTCTCCTGCAGGTTGTTGACATTTTTAAATAAAAGAAAATAAATTGGGGGATTATAGTGGAATCCATTCCCATCTCACTTAAGGTGCAATTTTAGACAGTAGAGAGGCCTGCAACTCCCTGTTTAAATTTACCTAGGATTGCAGCCTTAATAATTTCTAATGTCATATTGTTGTGAATAGGTCACTTTTCTTTCAGCTTGGATCCATTCAGGATCTGCACAGGAAATGTCATAGTCATACAGCCACCTTTGCATTTCATGGCTCTTTGCCCTCTCTGTTAACTCTGTTCCTTCTCAAAAACCTCTGCATCCATTTCCCTCTGCACATTTTTATTGGAAGAAATAGCTCTAGCTCAACCAATTGATTGAACTTCAAAGTGTTCTTGCTGCTTCTCCTAAAACTTGGCACAAGAACAGCTGCAGTCCTTGACACTTTCCTGGGAAGAGTCCCACTGAATGTAATGGGGTTCCAATGAGATATATAGGTTCATACTATTCCGATAAAACTCTGTCATTAGCTATCTCTAGTTTTCCAGTATTACTTTCAGCAGCAGGGGGAAGTCCATTCATTTCAGTATGGACCTTACTTCTACAAACATGTTTAGGAGCAACTTACCTTTCTCCCAGTTTCTGGAACCTTCACCATTAAGAGTTACAAGTTCTACCTTTGATTTTTGGAAGGAGTTCCCCTTCCACTTTGCCCACAAACTTATACCCATTCATTTGGCTGGAATTTAGCCCCTTCACCTCGGAATATGTATTTTGAGCAGGTAACATATAGGATTGTGCTGTTGATGTCCTGTCCCAACACCTGTTCTATATACCTACAATCCTGTACACTTACCTAGATGTGTATATATATGCTCTTGAGTAGAAATGCATAGAATTGCAATGTAAATTTCTTTCATGACACTGGAGCTTATCTAATATTGTGACAGTGAGACTGCAGCTTGGTAACCCATTCCCTGGAACTGATGCACAGAGGAGCGTGTTTAGGGGGCTGTGCCAATGTGGGCGGTCATTCCCACTGTGAATGTGTGTTCTGGGTCAAAGCTACAGTGCTAGTGTTGCAGGAAGCAGCATAAGAAGAGCCCAGCTGGGTCACAGCAAAGGGCCACCTAGCGCAGCCCTCTGCCAGCAGTGGTCAACCAGCTGCCCAAAGGATCTCACGAGCAGGCCGCTGCTTGTGTAACTGCAGCTTCCTACCCATGTACCTCAGCAACTGGTGTCCAGGCACACAGTCCATTAGGATTATTTCTGAAAGAGCACCATCTTTACAGGTTTGGCTCATTCTATGATTTTTATTTATTTGTTGCATTTTAGACTGCCCGGTAACCCAAGTGTTCTGATGAAACTAACAAGAATCAGAGCCACAAGATCGTGGTGCTGAGTGTCAACTGTTAAAACATTCTTCAGGATATACTTGAATTAGAAAGTTTAGAAATAATAATTAAAAAGTGAAACCATTTTAGGAGGTTTTCTTCTTTTTATTCCCATGCTCTTAATTTTGGAAAAAAATCACAAAAACATAACTTATAAAACAATATATATACTGCATCCTCCACAACAGCGTTATTGAAACATCCAGCGTAACGGTTACCACAGGTGGGAATACACTGGGAAAGAAGTACCTTGTGCATTTTATATTATGTTTCTTTGTCATCTACAGATAATAAGTATCGACAGAAAGAAGCAACAAATATGTCTGCAAGAAAACTTCATATGTGTTTTTGTATGCATATTAATATTTAAAGATCATATTCATTATTTCCATAGGTTTTTTATTTGCCAACAAAAAACAACTCATTTTAAGTATTATCTACACTTACACCTTATAACACCTTTAAGATTTCTTGTTTGGGTTCCTTGCTTTTTGTTCAGAGATGGAAAAACAAGTCACTTTTTCGAACACTTTCCCCATCTGTGAGGTTACTCGACTCCTTTCTTTCAGATGCAGTATCAACAACATTTTAGGATAGTCCTTTCCTCTGTCTTTAAATCCCCCACCCCGTAAATTCTCTAGGAGAACTCTTTCCTTTCTTCTTTTTAAATTAAAAAACCCTTTAAATAAGAATGCATGATAATTTGATTATCAGGGTAAGTCTCTGAAAGGGGGAGCGTTTCTGAAAAGTTCCTTTTTAAAGGGAAGAAAGTAGAGGGATACTGCCGTCTTGGAAGGGAATAAATGAGAAAGAGGTAGGAACCTTATCAGCTGCTTAGTGAGCGGAATGATTGGGTCCTCATCGCTTTCAGCTAAAGAAACAAATCTCTCCAAGAGTCATGCATTGGAAAAACAACATTGTAATGCAACGGCTAAGCAAACAGATAAATACAGCCTTGCAGAAGTTCGCCACGTGACGGAGACTTGCTCGCAGTGTCTTCCTTCGTCTCCGAGCCCGCCCCGCTCCTGCAGGAGAAGCTCCGCCCCTTTTCTTCCTGAGGCGGCCACGCCGGGCCACGCCTCGTCTCCCCACCCGCTACCACAGAGAGCCCCCCAAGCCACGCAGCCCGCAAAACCATCTCTCGCCATTGCCCCCCCCGTCAACCGTTACCGCATTTTCTCGTATAAAGTGGACGCTTACAGAAGAAAGTCCTGTGCAAGTTCAAGTAAACACGCATACAAAACCCGCATCATCCAGAGGAGAAAAAAAACAATTGCAACTCATCCATGTACTTAGGTTCGACTCGGGCGTCCTCCGCGTCTTCTCCTTCTCTCCTGGCCGGAGACTGCTGGCCGGTCCGTGCCGCCGCCCCTCCGCTCCACCGCTCCCCCCCTCCGGAGCGCAGCCGCGGTTCCTTCACGGCGGGGAAAGCCCGTCAGCTGTTGTACTGGCAGGCGTTTAGGGTGGAGCCGGGGCTCTGCAGGCCGCCGTAGCCGAAGTTCGAGTGCTGCTTGGACTTGAGCCGCAGGCTGGCCAAGCTGGAGTTGCAAGTGTCCCTGTAGACGCTGTAGGGGGAGCCCGGCGGGCCGTAGGGGCAGGCGGGCGACGACATGGCCGAGTTGAGCGAGGAGCCGCTCAGGTTGTTGAGGCCCGAGTTGGGCACGCCGGGCACGGCCGAGTGGCCCATGGACGACGGCATGCTCATGGAGGGCAGCGTGTTGGGCGCCGAGAACATGGACTGCGCCGACGAGAGCGGGCTCATGGAGTTGAAGAAGGTGAAGCTCTTGGAGGAGAGCGGCGCGGGCGCCAGGCTCTTGGCGTGCCAGTAGTTGGACGGGTAGCCGGCGTAGACGTCCTCGTAGGGCTGCATCAGGCCGCTGAACTGCGACACGTAGCCGTTCTTGCACAGGTCCATCTGCTGGTTGCGCTCCCGCTTCCGCCACTTGGCGCGCCGGTTCTTGAACCACACCTGCGGACGGGACAGGAGGAGACGAGGCACGCCCGCGGGCTTAAGCGTGACGGCAGCCGCAGCGCCACCGGGGCCACCTGCAGCCCCCTCCCCCGGGCTGGGGCCGGTTGAGGCGCCGCCCGCCCTCCCACAGCGCTGCCGGGCCCGCGGTGCTGCGAGTGCGGCTCTTGCAGCTGGGACGCCCGAAACTTAGCGAGCCTGCAAGAGCGGCACAGAAGGCCGTGAAGGCATCTTCTCCCGCCCGGGCGCCTTCCCGATGGGGTCGATGCCCACTCCCATCAGCCCCAGTCAGCACAGCTCGTGGCCAGGAGTCCTGGGAGTTATGGTCCCAGGGAGGTCAGGACGTCGAGGGGAACTGCAGAACTGCTGCTGCTCAGCAGAGGGCTAATCATTGCATCGTCGTGTCCAGTTAATGAATTGTCTGCAGAATTCCTGGCCCTGTAGCTCAGGAGCCTTGCCAGGGGAAACACACGAATGAGTACACAACACACACTTGCATTTAAGAAATGGGGACCTAGAGCAGAGGGAAGAACACTCTGTATGAGGCCCAGCATCACTCTTTTAAAAGAGAAGGCAAGGTTTAATGCTGATCTGCTGAGCAGCCACGTGTTTGTGTGACACACACACACGAACACAACTGGTCATGCTAATTCAGCTAGAATAGGAATAGGATCTGTGTATCCTTAAACACTTGGTCACATGACAAAGCCTACTGACTGGGGATGATGGGAGTTGTGACTTCACACAACTGGAGTTTGGGGAAGCCTTCTTTAAGAGGCTCTGTATTGCCTTCAGTCATCCTTTTGTTGCAGACCAACATGTCTGTTGCTCATCCCCTCCCTGTATATTTCGTTTTCTCCTGAGCAACCCCTGGCAAGTCCAGACACTGGCGCATGTCAAATCTGCTTTTGTCCTTTTGCTAGGACTGTTGCAACAACAATCCCCCTTTTACAGACGATAAAAGCGGTATTGGATTGGATAAGTATGCCCAAGGCCACATTTCCCAACCTGATGCAGTGGAAATGTTGGACAGCAACTGCCATCCATCCCACCAGCACAGCCAATGGCCAGGCATGATGGGAGTTGTAGTTGGGGAAATGCAGCTCAAGGGCCAAATCAGAGCCCTCCTTTTGCCTTTGAATGAAGGCAGCATCTGCCTGTATTCAGCACTGATAGTCCTTACTGGATGGGAGTTGGCTGGCTGCCTCCATCTGATCTTTCAAAAAAAAAAAAAGTCAAATGAGGAGGGAGGAATCTGAGGGAGATTTTCCGAAAGGGTATCTTTAGGAAAACATGTTGAGTGGCCTTTCATAAAAAATCCGAGGCCCAGAGAACAGGAAAAGCCACCCAGCTCGTAACCTGAAGCAGGACACAGCCAGATCCTGTTCAGCATCCTTTCAGAGAGCTGCTGCACATTTAAGGGTGGCATCCACGTGTTTTCTGCTCTGGGTTAGAAGTCTTTTGCTTCCCCACTGGAAAATACTGGCCTCTGGAATTGCCTGTGTCTGTGAGCTTTCAAAGTGCTGGCTAAGGAGATCCAGCAGAGAGAAGACCTCATTCAAGCAAACTTTCAGAGTGGAGGCCCCCTGCCTGCAGAACTGTATTTCCTTTGAGCCAGAGCCGCGGGAAGACTGCTCCATTATTCAAGGGGTGCGTGTGTGTACCACAGTGCAGTCCTGTACATGGCTGGGCAGAGGTGAGTCCCACGGAATTCAGTGTACTTCCAGGTAAGTGTATTCAGGATTTTCTGGCCCAGTGTAGTGTCTCCCCACCCCTTATAAAATCACTTGTTAGTAGGGTTTCAGCTGTTTCCTGTGGTAGAGGTGGTGGTGGGTCTTATGGAGAAATCAACAGCAAAGGAAATTTTGAGGAGAAAGAATCCGTTATAAATTTAAAAGAGGACAAGAAGAAAGGAAACATGCTCAAAACCTGTAATTCGCTTTTCAGAAGGCACTTCCAGACAGGAATTTCCTGAAAGAGGTTAATAGTTTTAATGATAGCTTTTGAATATTTTAAAGGAAGGTCCTCTTCACAAATTAGGGTTGGTATGGTTAAACTAGAATTTTAGAAAATACATCCTCAGAAAGGTGGAAAGTGGAGAAGGGTAGTTTAGAGGCTGGGGAAGAAAGAGGAAGAAGAAGATGAGAAGGAGCTGGGAAAGCTCTCTTCGGTTTTTTATTTGCCACCTATAAGTACCATTTATGACAAACCTTAGAGATACATTGATTTGGAAATATTCCTTATTTTCTACTTCTGGGACTGATTGCTTTGACAAGGTTATTAAGGTCAGAGATTTGGTCTGCGCTTCGTGCTCCCTCTTTAGAGCATCTTATACTGTAGGTATATGGGCTAAAGTGGAATGTCTGAAAATAAGATGCAGATTTAGAATGAGAGTGAAAGAGGGTCCAATTCAGCTCTTGATTGCACTGGGATAATTAGGCTGCCCTTGTGGCTATAATCCTATGCCTTACTAATTACGTATATACATCTTGGAACAGACTGGTACATATATTGAGTAAAGCAGCAAGAATAGGATATACATGTCACATGGAGGTGGGGGCTTTCAGTTGGGCTTAAAAATGATTAGCATTAGCTGGATTGTACCAAAATTTACTGACATGTCATGTTTTTAAGATAGGGCTTGTTACTCACTACCATCTATGTTTAGGGAGAATTTTAAGATCCTGATCTTATTGAGTCTTGATGACTTCAGTAATATGTTTTCCCTAACAAATGGGAGTAGGACTACAGCTTTAATTTCTCACTCTTCACTAAATACAATATGAAATTTGAAAAAAAAAAAACCATTCTTTTGGAAAATATTTGTTGCCCAAAACTTTTGGTATGGTTTATCACAAAGAACTGCAGCTTTGCACATCCTTCTCTGGAAGTAAGCACTACAGAATACAATCAAACCAACTTTGGATTAGTTACATTTAGGATTGTAGCCTTATTTCAGTTTTGAAGGGCGTGGGGGAGGGTCCAACCTCTTGGGATTTCCAAGCCATTTAAGGTTTTGATCCAATGCTCGTTACATCGGAGCAATCAGCTGACCTTCCTTTTTGGATACCCATGTGAAACCGAAACCATGATGGAAACCGACTGAATGACTAAAGACTGCAATACTATGAGCATGACTTAGAAGGACCATTGCATTTTGTGACTCTCCTTCATTACACTGGTATAGCTAAGACCTGGACTTAACAGCCTAAGCTGGGGCCCCTTTAGATGCCTGTGAGTGGTACTTCAGCTATGAAACACACAACTAACATTTCTCACTAATACCATTTCAATGACAGTTCTCAGCTGGTATGTTAGAACACCACATTCAACAAAACTTGGTTTTAAAGTTATATTATTATTCATAATAGTACTCTGAGCATATGCAATTTTGCATTTTAAGCTCACTTAACTCACAGCAACAACATGACCGCAGGAATATGATGTAGCTTGCTTCTTCTGCTGTCTGGGTGGCCAACCTGTCGGGCAGGTTGGATTGTGGTGCCTGCACTTTGGTCCCAATATTCACCCCGCATTACACCTCTCTTAATAAATATATAAAGAATGCATAATTTTACCCCCACACAACAACCCTTAACTTCATGGCAGGCCATGTTCCTCCAAGGGAGAAATTTTACTGGTTTCCCCTAGTTGATTTCAGGGAATCCCCAATAACTTTTTCTCTGGTGTATCATTAGTCCCTCTAGGGTGGTTGCTGCTTAGGGTCCATTAAAGGTACAATGCTGAGCAGGTTTTGGCAGAAAAAGTCCTGTAACTCCCAGCCAGCCACATTAGCTGGGAAATGCTAGGATTGCATCCTAAAAGAATTTAGGAGAACACAACATGGAAATACTAAATGCAATAGGCATTTTTGACCTTGCCTTGAATTCCTGGTAGTTGTCTAACAAACTGTATTCAGTGAGTTGTAAATACACCCGCACCTCCAGCACTATAGGACTAATTCCTCCTCCTAAAAGCACAATGTGAGGAGGGGAAGGGACAACCACTAACAAATCTAGTGCACTAAACATCCAGAGCAAACACAAGCAAGGAGAAAGTTAATAAAATGCTAATCCTCCCACCACAGCAAGTTATTTTCTGCTATTGGGCAGCTTTAAACAAAAACAAAGAACAGCGACTCTCTGCATTTGCAGGCAAGAGACCAATAAAAATTCTGTGAGTTCTTGCACCCCACATACTCCCAAATGAACCCATCCTGAATTTAAATCTAGTGCCACTTTGTGGCTACTGTGTCAGCAAATCCGTCAGTACTCACAGGACGTATTTTGCTGGCTGAGTTCAACAAAATCTACCTCAGTTCTATTTCCAGTTAAACGCCCTAAGGTGGAAAGTGCGATTTTGTTTTGTTTGCTTTGTGCTCCACAATGCCCACCACAACGCCCACCCCGTTTAAAACCAAAAGCAGTGGGACTGTCATTTTGATCCTAAACACTGAACCTGAAGTTGCTTTAATTCCAGCAGAATGTACTTAGCCTCAACCTGCGGTCTAAAGGCCATCTGCTTAAAATTAACTTCCACTGAAATCAGTTGGACATGATCAGGATGGCGGGTCCATCAACTAAAAAGCCAAGTTTGTGAATCGGGCGGTTAGTGTTAAAACAACCAATACATTACAATAACAGGTGGCCTAAAGGGGAGGGGACCCTGGAGAAGTACTACCTAGATTTCAAGATCGCTTTCGCTTGATTTTAGGAAGTTTGTATTCTCTCACATTCTCACATTAATGCAGCACCCGAGCCCAGCTTCAAGGAGCATTCATTTCACTGGGATTTATTTCTCCGCAAAGACACGACACAGCTGAAGGTCTACTGCGCTTTGAACGCCTTTTCCTCAGTCGGTTTCACGGTAATAGAGCTTGCCCTCAAGTAAGAGGTTAGTATATGTTTGGAAGCTTAATTCCGTACGTCATTGCTTCGAAGTGAATCCCAGCGAATTCAATAGGTCGTATTCCCAGATAAGCTTCAGTGGGGTGGCAGCCTGGTCCTCGGACGACTTTCAGCGCACCGGGATGAAGTCCCACCGAGGTCGACAGCACTTCAGCCTCTGCAGTCCTTGATCCTGGCTGAACTCGCGCCCGGCATTTTAATTTTAAGCCCGAGGGACCGCGCGAGAGGCACCTCCCCGTGAAAGAGACGCCAACGCTCGATTTTTTTTTTTTAATTTGATTTTTTCGGCAACGAATGCTGCCATGCAGCCCTGCAGTGCGGAGCGGAGCGGAGCGGAGCGGAGCGTGCAGCTGCCCCGCGCCTGCCCCGCCGCCGAGCCTTGCGCGCCGGGAGAGCACGCGGGACCCGCGCTCGGCCGCCCGCCCGCCCGAGAGAGGCCCCTGCGCGATCTCCAGGTCTGGAGGACCCAGCCAGAGTGGGACAAGCATCCCGGGTAAACCAGTCCTGGCGTTTCGGAGTGCTCTGCGGATTCGTTGAGGCACGCCTGACCTGACTCCTCGAGGCGATTCCCTCTCTCTCTCGCGCGCGCACAAACCGGGAGAGAGAGAGAGAGAGAGAGAGAGAGAGAGAGAGAGGGAGGGAGGGGGAACAAATTAAAGATTAAACCTTCTGCCCTGATCTGCTTCTATTTGCCCTGCCCCGGAAATTTCCTACACCCGGCTGCAGTTCAGCATCTCCTGCAACCCGCGAGGGCTACACGCCACAAACGAAGTTCTAGCTGGGGCCAAGCAGCACGGGGACCTCCCGCGGTCGCCGCTTGTCTAGATCTAAGGACGAAATAATTTTTGTTTTCCGAGGTCCGCCCCCCCTCCGCCCCCGGCTCGGCGAAGAAGAGCGCGTTTATAAAGCCTATTTCCCCGGATGCCCGCGTTCCCCCGCCATCTCTCTTTCTCTGAACAATCGCCCGAAGAGAAAATAGATTTCCTGCCTAGTATTAAATGGCTGCATTTAATTAATCTAGGGGAGAACAGTAAATCTGAAGGATGCTTCTCTTCTTGTTTTTCCCAAGCTAGATACAAAAGGAGGACAATAGCTGGCGACCCAAGCGGCATTCCCTTCTCCCTCCTATACAGGAGTTATTAAAAATCAGTGTAACTGAGAGGTGGCGAGGCGACTTTTATTTTAAATACGCCGCCCGCTCCCTCTGTTTGCCGGGTTCCGTCTGAAACTTCGCTGCTTGGAGTCCCTCCTATACCAGAGTCCCAGGCTTGCTCACTGCCGCTCTCGCATCTGGGCTTGGCCTGCTCCATAATTGACGGAAGAGGCGTCCCAATCGACCGGCGGGTTTACTCCAGCTTGAACTTTCCCCAGCAGCGAAGGCTCCTAAGGAGCCCAACCCTGTAAAAGTGTAGGGTTCTTGCGTTCTCACGCGCTTCTCAGCCACGATCCCGTTTACTCAGACGCGAGTTTCAGTGCGATTTAATTCCAAGACTGCGGGCCGTACAGCACCCAGGTTAGCACGGGATGCACTTCGGATTAAGGCTAGAGCCAGGATGACGCCCCCTGGACGCGCGAGCAAATCCCATTGAGCTTACTCCCGAGGAACTGGCTTGGGGAAAAGCGGGTGTGGGTTGCAGTCCTACCCGCATTTGCCTGGGACTAGCGGGAGGCTTCCCTCCCAGTCAAAATGGCTGGGAGTCGGCCTTAGCCCCGGCGCTGCAGGCCGGCTCCGCTGGATTGGGCCGTGCGGCCGCGCTTCACAGCGCATGTGCCCCGAAGCAAAGCTCGCTTTGCTGGACGGGACTCCCTCCTGGGCAAGCGCCCTCGGCGGCGCAGTCTCGACTGCTCGGGCTGGCTTTTTCAGGCCGAGACGTTTAAAATCGGGAGCGTTAGGAGAGGCTAGGAGGACAGGGCGCGGAGCTCTTGCTTTGCACAGCCCTGGTCCTTCCCTTTTGTTCTGCGCCTTCACACTGCAGCGAGGAAGACCTCCTCCGCCCCGCAGCCCCCATCTTCACTGTGGCCAGGAAGGTCCTGCCTCTTGATGCAGGGCTCGGCGCCTGGAGAGCCAGCAGAAGGAGCCTTCTGAGCGCACACACGAATCTATTTACGCCGTCGTGTTCCCCCACCCGTTAGAGCAAAAAGTGGAATTGACACAAGTTGGGTGAGGATGACGGCGGGGGGGGGGGGAGCAGCACAGAGCCGCCTGCTGCAGGATTTGTTTTCTGCCCGCTCGCTTCCTCCTTCCCGAATAACCAACCAGGACGGCCTGTGCTTTCACCCCGGACTCCTTTTTTACGCGCCGGCGCCTTTGGGTTTTCCAACAAAAACACCTTAAGCTTCGCCTTTAAGCACTCTTGGGGCAGCGATCTCTGCACACTTACTTGGGAGTAGGCCCAATTGAACACAGTGGGACTTACTTCCGAGTCAGTGCCTGGAAAGGCAGCCAGTGCCCTGGGCAGCTTGCAGCCGACCGACCAGCCTTTTACTGGCCGGCTTCGCGCTGTCTCCAGACAGCCGGCGAAGTGGCGGGATTAACAGGCGGTTCCTCGGAGACGCGAACAGCGGCTCACCCTGACTCGGGGCTCGGTGAGGTTGGTCCACACCGCAATCTCCTCCCGCATGCTCATGTCCGGGTAGCGGTTCCTCTGGAAAGTGGCCTCCAGCTCCTGCAGCTGCTGGCTGGTAAAGTGAGTCCTTTGCCGCCTCTGCTTCTTCTTCTTCGCCGGGTCATCCGCGTTCCCGTCGTCGCTTTTCTGAACGCCGCTTCGCTCCTTCTCTGGAAAGCAAAGGGCCAGGCGCGGGGAGACAAAACGACGCGCAGTCAGTCCCGGGGCAGAAAAAGCCGCAGCGCCCCGCTCGCGCCCCCGCCCCGAGCCCGGGCCAGGGCAGCCACCCTGCTCTGGGCGAGGGGTCTGGATGCCGCGGAAGTTCCTGCCCCCGCCGTCCCCCAGCTGAACAGAGCGAGAGCTCTCGGTTTGGAACCGGCTCGTCAGCCTCGCCAAATACGACTCGGGATTTTTCCATTACCAAAGAAATAAGGAGCAGTCAAATCGGAATGGATGGAACCATCCTACTTGCATGCAGAAGACTCTGAAAGCTGCACACACAGAGAGGCGGACGTTGTGTTTAAAAGGGACAAGCCATTTTTAAGAGACGGGGGGGGGGAAGCACAAGAATGTCCTCATCTTGGAGTCGCTGCTGCCTCTAAATAATGGGAAACTCATGGCTAGGGTTTTTGTACTTGTTTTTGGACATTTTCCTATCGTGCCAAGAGGGTAAATAATACATAAAAGCCCTCCCCCAATATTATTTACTTAGCCAAAATGAGGCTTCCATGAAACTTAAATGTTATATACTTGAGGAGTTTTGGACTCCTACACTTGGATCAGTTTTTCAGCTGTGTAAAATGTGGGAATTGTTTAAAAGTTAAAAACAGCAGAACAGTAAGAAAATAGAGTATCTTCAAATTTAACCCTCGTCTAAACTTTTAAATAAGGATTTTGATGGATATTTGAATTATTTTTGCTTTCAAAGTGCCAGACTGTGTGTATTTGTGCATACAGTTCCCCAGAAAACCTAAAATCTACTTGTATCTGTATGATTAAAACAGGTATGAGGGTTTTTTTCCACACACACACACACATTAAGATGCTGCTTTCAATCTCTGATGTCAAGGCTGCAATAGTACGTCCACTTATTAGGAGAAAGTCCCACGGAATACAACAGTCCTTACTTCTGAGTAGACATGCATAAGATTTAACAGCAAGTAAATGAACAAACATTTCCAGAACAAGATCCAGCCACGGCTAAGGCATTTCTAAGTATCACTCACTTCAGTGAGAGAAATATTAATGCAAGCTTAATTCAGCTGTTGAAAGTCCCATTGATTTAAGGGACAGAGATGTGATCCTAGGTGCACAACTTGATTGGAACTCTCTTGAACTCAACAGATTGGTTTCCAAGTAAAAATGCTTTGGATTGCACTACATATATGGTAGTTAACTTGGCTGCATATTGCTCCCAGTGTACGCCTTTATTTATAGTTAAGAATACGCATATATCTATCAAATTAGATAAAGTTTATTTTTGCAGACATAGGAGGTTATTCTACAATCTGGAAAAAATTGGAAAGGGAATTGATGATCTGACTTAGGCTGCACTTCTATAGGTACTTGCCAGAAAGCAACTTTGATTAAACACAGTTGTGGCCTTACTTTTGAGTAGATGTATATAGGATTGCACTGTTCGCACAAATATCTTGGCAATCCGATTTTCCAAGAAAACTTTGTAGGGATCTATAATAATCATGCATTTATGCAGAAGTCTGTGATTATAGTCAGGCAAACTTCTAGCTTGCAGCCTGATCCTGCGCATTGGCACAAAAATATTCCCCCAGAGATAAATCCCACTGACCAAAGGGACTCACTCTCAAGGGATTGCTTCCTGTGATATTTTGGGGAAGTGTTTCCAAATGCAAACTTACTTTCAAATGTAAGTAGCAACAATGAAGTAATTTTGGTAGCCTTATTATAGGTACTTAGGAAGAGCAAGTACTATTTTGCTCAGACTTTTTTCTAGTGCAGCAGTTTAGGATTGCGCTTTTTGTTAATCAGTCCAGATGAACAGATTTATTTGTTAGTGCAAAACCACTCTGATTTTGTAGTACCAAGACCTGCAATCAGTTTTCACACTGATAGTATGTAAGTAGCTTTAAGTAGTATTAGAACTATGCCTTCATATATGTTTACCTACTCTGCATGTCTAGGGGAATACATAAATGGGAGCTGACAATCAGAACACTCAGAATTTTGCAAAATTACCAGCATCAGTCTACAGTTGGCAGTTTGTATACCCCGCAGTACTTTTCTTTTGAGCAACTTTATTAAAATAAACTGCTTTCTCCTGAGAAAGTAATAAAATAATGGAATTGTGGCTCTCCACCATTGACTATTGTGTTTAACTATGGTAGAGTGGGGGAGGGGGTGAGTTGGTATAAGTGTGTGTGTGTACTAAATGCTGACATTTAATGCCATTATTGGAAGCTCTCTCTCCTTCTATGAAATTTTGTTAGGATCTCATTTTATTTTTTTATGTACTGTCATGTATACATTGTAGTGGAACGTCTGCCTAACTATGTGTATACCACGCTATTATTTATTCAATTAAAAAAAGAGAAGCATAGGTCGCCATCACTGAAAAACCACGTTGATTTCAACAGTGGATATTAAGTTACTTAGCTCCCCCTATTTGAAATGAGAGTGGATTTCAAAGAGCTTAACCTTTGCTGGATCAGGGGCTATATGAAAAACCCAGATAACACTTGTGCCACTTGATCCAGGGAGGAGGAAGTGTTGCCCGTGAATCACACACACACACAAACCACAAACAAACAAGCGGCCTGTGTACACCGCAAGGACGCTAGCAAACAACATTTAATTCGCTTTGATTTGTGTCTTGGACTCCGAACAGGAATTCGTGACTTGGCTTCCATTCCCCGAAGTGTATTTAGACTGCTTTTTAAAGTATTGGGTTGTGCAGCTATTGCACGCGTTGGAAATCCAAAATAAATGAGCCCTAAACCCGTCTGGCCTCATCTCCTTTAAGTCATCCGTTTTAAGTCTCTCTGTTTCTCCTGGACTCACCTGAGAGCGCCGAGAGTAAACGAGGCGAGTTCAAGCGGTTACATGAAAACCCCAAAGTGGTAAATGGCCTTCTCGCAGCCCCGTCGGCCGCTCTTTCCAGCGAGCGGTTTGCAAAGCAAACAAGGCCCGGGACACGCTCGCCTTGTGAAAAGGTTCCTTGGCGATGGCCAGGCGCCCGCTCCGGCGCGGTCCCTCGCCGCCGCCGCCGCCGCCGCTCCGGGAGAGGGGTCCGCGCGGGTGCGGCGGGGGCGGCCTTTCTGGCTGGGCTCCCGGCGAGGCGGCACGGCTCGGCTCGGCGCACGGGCGCGGGGCGCAACGCTGCGCCTGCGAGCCGCCGCGGCCTCCCGAGAGCACGCCGTCCGCCGCGGCGACG